TCCCTACATAATTTCATTTAAATGCCAGCACCACTCTGGTGATATATGTATTTTAGACCATAAAACTTAATACATTTGCAGGAGAGCATTTGAAGCTAATATGCAAAGCTTTTGTGCCTAGAAAACCCACAAATGCCTTTAAACTTTGAACTTCAATGCTACTATCTCCAAAATGGAATTGAACCAGATAATCTAATCTCTTCTGAGCATAATTCTTTCTTTAAAACCAAAATCGATTTTTAAAACAATTTGAAATTCTTTAAAACTATTTGTCCTGATTCCCACCAGATATCAGATAAATGAAGCATTGTTAGATTTAAAAATCCTTTTTGTTTTCTCTGGTTTTATTAGGTTAAAATTTTAATATTTGGGAAATATATTCATTTTCTAAAGCCACAAATGCCACAGATAATGCTTTCATAAATTGAAGCTAGAGATCATAAGGATTATAACTAAATGAATTACTACAAATAATGCTAGAGTGATGGATAAAACTAAGATTATGGATTTAATTATTGAAGAGTTGCCTGTTTTTAGGTTAATTGATGTTTCTGTTACCAAAGGTATTATACAGTTTTAGACAGACCAAAATAAATTTAAATGAATGTGATTTATATGTTCCAAACATGAAAAAAAAACCTATTATACTTAACTGACAGAAAATGGTTTTGGATTTAAAAGGTGGGTTCATTGTAATCCTGTTAATAGTGTTCTGCTAGTAGGACTTTCAGTGTGAGAGAGAATAGTGCTGAATAGGTTAACTCATGTATGTGATCTTGGCAAGGATCATTTAGTGTCACTCTGACAAGAAGTTCCAGACCAGAGACTACGCACCTCACCATAAATAGCTCTTCCCAAGTCTATACTCTTAGGCATAGGAGAGTGGTAGAGTATACACATATCAGTGCAGATTTACAATTAGAGAAATGTGCCCAGATAGTAGATAATCCGTACATGTATTCATTCCTACATCAGACAATAGCATTTGCTTTAAGAACATCTGGGAAAACACATCACTTAAATCCAAATTCAGGGGAAAATGGTCATTTAAAAAAAGTAGAAATGTCATCAGGCTTTGAAAGATGAATTCTGTCTGTTGTACAAATACAAATTTTTGATAAGCACAATAAACAAATACATTAAAAAGTAGCTTGTGAGAAATTTAGAACTGGTTACCTGGGTTTTATCTTTTTTATCTGAAAGAGCTAGTAATCCTAATGGTTGTTGGGTTGTTCTGAGTGTTTTGGGGTGTTCTGATCTGTAGATAGGTCAGTTCTCCCTTGATATCTGTGATGGCATATACCTCCAAAATTTATAAGTATACTGTAACACATATTTTTAAGAATTTGTTATTCAAATATATCCAGAATTAAATAATCTTAGCTCGTAACTTAACTGCTTATTTTGTAGAAACTCAATAAATAGTTGTGGATGGAGTCATTCATATGAGACTCTTAAAAATGACACAAATGTCTACCAGTGGTTAGTTTAGAACCAATTTCTATTGGTTTACAAGTAAAATGTGTAGTATTTTTTAAAGTAGTCTAATGTCTTAATATAATTAAAAAATTTTTGTTGACTATTTTTAACTAATTTCAAAAGGGATCATAATTATCTAATTTCAAATACCTAATCATCATTTTAGGAAATCTGCAGCAGCTTGTAAACTGCCATAGTGACATACCAAACTAGCTGTTATATGGAGTATCAAAAACTTGTGAATGTCATTTTAATGACATTACAACATTAAAAAATCTATTTGTACTTTAAAGGAACCTACATAATATTGTGCATATTATAATTAAGTAAAGTGTATTTAAACTGTTTACTTTCAAATCACAACAAACAAATGCCATCTACATCATTGAAAATGATCCTTAAAATTCTGAAACCAAAATTTAAAGGGTCACAATATTTCTTTGGCCAACTAGAACAGTTAATAAAAATACTTAAGAGTGATGGGCTTCTTACCCAGAAGTCCATAGGTGGGCTTCAGAGGTCTGTGAACCCCTGAAATATATATATATATATATATATGGATTGTGTTTGACAAGAAGAAAACATAAATTCTGTTAGATGTTTTTTAAGACTATTTTTAAAGTACTTAAAATTTGGGCAGAACTTTTTTTTTTAACAGGAGCAGCTTTAGAGATAGTGTATTTGGGGAATGATGGTGTTCTACATTGTAATAACTTATTTCATATGTGCCTATTAGGAATATGAACTAAAAGATTATCATCAAGTATATCTCATGTAGTAGTTACCTGTACTATGTGCCAGATACTGTTATAAATATGGATGTAAGTACTGCTTTTATCTTATTTAATCATTATTGCATTTTAACCATTTTAGCAATTCTAGGAGGTGAGTTTTACGATGATCCTCATTTTGTAGATAAGAAACCAAGGCACAGAAAGGTTAAGTGACTTGTTGAGGGCCACATTTTGAACAAATGGCAGAGCTGAGACTCAAATCCAGTCTAATATGAAAATCAGTGTTCTTAATCATTATTCTGTACTATTTAGAACGTTTTGAAAAATAAACATTACATAGATATATTAGTACATTTTCCTTTCCTAAAATGTAAGCAGAGTTCTATAGTAATGTCTGATCAGAAAAGAGCAGTATGGTCTTCAAGTAGAAATAAGCTTGTAAAATTTTTAAATGTCTTTCAACCAGAAATAATATCAATTTGTTTAAGAGAAAACAGTTGTATCTATTTTATTTACTAGCAATTTTTTTTTTAACTAATTAATGAAATTGTTTTATTTCTGAGAGATACAATAATTTATTTCTGGTTACCATGTACCCAGAACCTATGATATTGGGCCTTTGTTAATGTTATTTTAAGAGAACACTGACTTGTTTTAAGTGATAAAAAACATAGAGTCATTTGATTTAGAGGAAGGTTAATAGTACTATGCTAAGCAAGTACTTTCTTCATGATGTAGCTGTTCATTTTTTCAAAAATGTTTTAACAGTAATTTTAACAATTTTACCTACTTGTATTATTTTTTGTGAACAGGTTTTTTCCTTGTATGATTTAAAAATTTTTTTAATCTTTAAAAAACTTAGTAAAAAGAAGACAGTCATTTCGATATGACACTTGTGAATCACTTCCTTGACATGAATGTCTTTGAGTTTTCTATCTTCCTTAAACGAGATAATTCTAAATAGCCAAATCAGATTACAGTAATTTGGAGAAATGTTTATAGTGATGCAGTTGAATTGTCTGTTCAATAGATGATACCATGTGAGTTTTTAAAAATCCTATTTAAGCATGAAGAATGTTAAATAAAAACATTTCTGAATGTGAGACTATATAGTTTTAAATGCAAACTTCAAGATCTAATTATGAAAATACACAATAAAGCTAGGTTTGACGAGTCAGTATGAATTGTTGCCATAGTGTAGTTTAAAATTTTTTAAAGCAATGATAAGGTTAGTAAGAAATTGCTTGGGGAAAGGTCATCAGTGAGCAACCTCCCCCAATTTCCTTCAGCTGATCGTTTTGCCATTCCCTCTTTGGTCTACAAAAATCTGGAAAGTTGGCCTTTGTATAAAGAAATTCTCTATGTTACAAGTAAGGACTACTACTTATTTTAGGAAAGTTGAGCAGGAAAAGCCTGATCCATCACTAAGAAACCATCTGCAGAGCCAGTCCAACATTTTAATTTGCTGATGGCATGAGTATCTTGAGATAATAGCAAGCCTTAACCCTTCATTAGATAGAAGTTTTTAACCAATATTTATTCCATTTTTGGCATTCCACTGGAGGTGAAATATAGCAGCTGTTTAAGGAATACGTGTGTGAATATATGTGAGTATTTAGAAACAAAGAGCCATACTGAAATTATGAAGTGATTAAAATAGAATTTAGTAACCCAAGTTAAAATTTGGCTAGGATTCACGAGAGATTGTTCTCCTTAGACTTTGACAGTGTGCTTTTTAACAAAGTACAGATGCTCACACTTGACCAGTTGTGAGTAGATTCACAGCATGAGAAACAGGAGAGTATTATCCCAAATGTTTACATAGGGTGTTAAATAAAAACTATTAAGGTAAAAAGTTCAATACTTTACATAGATAGTAAACTATGCATATTATTTTATTTGTAACCCCATGTGTTAAGATGGGACACTGTTAAAGTAACAATCACTTAAAAAACCAACAAACCAGTATTTAATTTGTTACTTAAAATTAATAATTAAAAATCAAATGGAAGCAATGTCTAAAGTAAGAATTCACAATAAAAACTACTCAGGCTCTTATTGGAAATATAATCATTCAAAATGGACTAACCTAAAATATACCTTTAGAGATAGAATAAGGGTGTAAGTTAGCAAAGTGTTAAATAAGATTTCAGGGAGCCGGTAAAATTACTTTTAAGAACTTAAGAACTGCTTATATGCAAAAAAATATTAACTGTAAATTTAAGTTCATTCATACATGGCCTTATTTGAAGCAGTATATTGCATTCACTAGTAAAATTCATATCAGTAAGATATTTTTGAAGTATATTTTTCTCAGATTTTCACTATTTTGAACTAGTTGTTCCAGTTACTAGTCCGAATTTCTTAGGAAATCTAAGCCTTTAATGAAGACATGCTTCTGAAAAATAAGGCAATTTTCTACAATCTGCTTATGAATAGAAATCTTTGGTTTTTAGTTAAAGCGGCAGGAAGGATTTTGCAAAAAGAAAAACTAAAGAATCAAAGCAATGAAAAGGCTCTTAGCAATGGGAAACTCCAAACCCCACCAAGGTCAGTAGAGTACCTAAGGCACCTCAGGTTCAGAAGACACAATCAAATCATCTTTGCGTAGAGTTCTGATCATCTATATACAGGATTTTTATCACCTTGAGAATGTGAAGCTGAAAAGGTAATGTCTAAACACGGTTATTGTGACTAAGAAGAGAATCATAAGAGTTCATAAATGGGACATTTAGGGATCATCTGTTCTACCTCCCATACGTATAGATGAGGAAACTGAGGCCCAGTCATGAAACAGGACAGCAGAGCTGTGTTTTCAGATTTTTAGTCCATTTCTCTTAGGGCAGAACAAATTCTAGATTTTAATTTCCATTGGGCTAGTAATCCAAGTATAAGTTTCAGAGGTGAATTTGGAGGAGGGGGGGGGGAATTCCCATCAAATCCCCAAAGGCAAGTTGGAAATGTATAATACTTTAATTTCTTAATTCCTTTATACCAAGTGTTGGGCAATTTAGCTAATGTACTAACTGATTTACACAGTTCCTTTCAATTCTGTCTAAAAATATTAGACCAAAATTAAATGAGAAAGTTACATAAGATTCCCTTTGAGCATACATAAGGCCGTGGTATTTAATGTGACTCGCCCCTTTTTGGGAGAAGAGGACATCTCACTGTTCAGTTCAGAGAAAAAAGCTCCTGACTCGTTATCCAGTAGACTCTCCATTCTTCATGGGGAAGGCGAAGCTTATATTTTTAAAAATCTCTACAAAGCTCACATACAAGACAGTACACATCCTAGATTCGTGACTGATATGAGCATTTAAGGCTGTCATTTTCAAGTATAAAAGTTTAGTGTTCTGTTACCCAACCTGTGCAATAGATATAGCTGTAAGCCTAAGCCATGGAAATTAGTAGGAGCTCACCAAAAGCTGAAGTCATATTTAGGCAACAGCAAGTCTTAATGTAGGAAAGGCTGGGAAAAAAATCTATGGGTTAGATTATGCTTCTCTGAACTGCATTAATTTGTTCACACTGAAACTTTGTCTAACACTATTGTCTGTTGCATGGGGTGTTTGGAATAAGGCAGATCCAGCAGACCAAACAAGGAAGCTTAATTAGGTAACAACTAGTAATGAAAGTGGTTCGCCTCGAACACAGTTCTGTGGCCTCTTCCCCCAGAGAAAGATTAGAAATGGCTCTAGTATACCAAATAAGCTTCACAGATGAACATGTAAAAAATTTTTAAAGCAGGGCCTTTCACGTAGGGACCAACATGTACTGCTTATGGATGAAATAAATTATTATTTACTTCTGACTTGATATAATGTGAAATGTAACATGGCTGGGAAAAAATGGTTATCTGGAAGCCAGTATTTTGTTTGCTTTACACTCTAGGTGTTGGACTTAAGTTGTAGTTCTGTAACTTCTGCTGTGGTTTCAATATCTATCTGAAAGGTGACATCAGTTTTATAGTGGAAGCGGTTGCTTTGTTGTAAATTCCATGTAACATGCTTGAATTCTAGGTCTTTCTCTTTAACACAATTTAAAGTTTCTTGTGGTTTGGTCAGCATACACACTTCTCATTTCATTTGATATACAAGCCAAGGTGGAAATTCAGAAACAAAATTACCAACTAGTTCAGAGAGCTAAATTGAGTCCAAGATTATAGCAAAGTCTGACCCAAAATTTTAATTTGTAATTTTAGCATGTCTCTCATGCAGTTTGGGGAGCATCAAACTAAATCTACAGTCAGAAGCCTTGTTACAGTTGAATGCACATTAACTAAAACGTGTACATTTTTAGTGTTCATGATAAATGCAGTTATGACCTTATTACACTTTTGGCATTCTTTAAGAAAGCACATTAAGCTTTAATATAGAAATATTTAGGTTACACTTGTGCTCAAGTAATAAAACATTTGTTCTTTTTTGACCTCATACATTCTCTCCTCAGGTATGGCCCATCTCCTGTACGCTTGGAGCAACCTTTGGCTACGTGGCTGGCCTTGTTATTTCACCACTCTGGATATACTGGAATAGAAAGCAACTTACATATAAGAACAATTAATTGGAACAAAGGGAGAAGATATTTCTTTGTGCAGATTCTGTAAAGACTGTGCAGAAATGTGTATGGGGTCTAAGCCAAGCAGTTCCATTTACAGCACTTTTTTTTTTTTTTTTTTATAGTTACAACATGATGCAATTGTAGCTTTTTAAACTATGAAACCCCTGAGAGATTGTACCTTCTAGTTGAAATAAAGTATTTATAATGGATTGTGGCTTCAGATGCTGTTTGCTGCTTCTTGGACCTTTAAGAAACATTCTTAATGAACCTTATAGTTCTGAGGACAGGGTTGTTTTTTTCTTTCAAGTTTTAAACTGCTTCAGTATAAGAGGTCTGGGTATAGCGGTAGCATGTCATATGCTTTCTTAGAGCGAAATGGACAGTTTCCTTGGCCACTGAAGATGTCTCACGTAATCAAACAACAGTTTATACATCTTGATCCTATTCTTTTTTTTACTGTGTGTTTCTTTGGAGTTAAAATGGCTATGATAGCCTCATCAAAAACAGTCTTCAATCCCTTCTGGGTTAAAGCTGAACATTCCACATAGCAGCACGCTCCTATCTGGGAGGAAGAAAAAAAAAATCACAAATATATAAAACCTTTTTTACACAATTGTTTTGACACAAAGACACCATTACAAGAAAATTATAAAGTACAACTATGCAAAAAGAATTAAATCATCATAATACCCAGAGATAGCTAACTATTAAAAAACTAGTATACATAGCCTTCCAGACTTCTGTCAAATTCATTCATCAAATACTGGGTACCTACTATATGCCAGGCACTGTTTCAGGTGCTGGGGATAATGTCAATGAACTGAACACTCGAGCAAAGTCCCTGCTGTGTGATGCTTACATTTGCTTAAGTTCTAGGGGAGGGACAGATGAAGGACTATAGAGCAGATGGTGGCACATGCTCTGGAGAAAAAGCAAAGTGAGGGAGATGGAGAGTGCATAGGAGGGTGGTGGTGGTCAGGGAAAGCTCAACGAGGTGAAGTTTGAGCAGTGGGTTACCTAGAGGAAGAATTTCAAGGCAGACAGAGCCACAGATGCAGGAGCTTGTTTGGAGCATTTAGGAAATGGTAAAGGAGCCAGAGTGGCAGGAGAGAGAATGGGGCAGGGATGGCAAGAGATGAGTTTAGTGAGGGACCCTCGAGGCCACGCTAAGGACTTTGGCTTCTACTGAGCACTCATTTGCCAAATGAGAGAATACAGCAAGGAACAAAAGTTAAGTCTACCAATCACACTTACACTTTAGAGGGAGAAGACCATGAACTATAGAGGTAGAATATCAGTAATAATGTGGTTTGGAGAAAAAAGGAGAAGCAAGATAGGTAAGGAGTGAAGACAAGATCGGGCAAGGTCTCATTGAGAAAGTGACATTTGAGCAGAGATCCAAAAGGAATGAAAAAATGAATAATGATCCACAGGGAAGAACATTCCAGGCAGAGGGAGCAGCGAAAGCACAAAGCTCTGAGGTAGAAGACGAGAACAGCAAGGAGGCCGTGACCCTGAAGCACAGTGAGTGAGGCGGACAGGTAGCAGGAGCCATGGTGAGGACGCTGGCCTTTACTCTGAGTGAGCTGGGAGCTGCTGGATGATTCTGGGCAGAGCAGTGACCTGATGGAGCTTTTATTTTAAAAGACTCACTCGGTCTGTTATGCTGAGCACAGTTTAGCGTGAGTTAGAAACTATCCTGGTATAACGGGCCCGAGGTGGAGGGGCCTGAACCTGATTGTTAAAGGAGGGGATGGTGAGTAGCGTTTGGAATCTGGATATACCGTGAAGATAGAGCAGTATGTTTTACAACAGGGTTGGCTATATGGTATGAGAGAAAGAGCAAGGTCAAGTGTGACTTCAAGGTTTTTGACCTCAGTTTACTGGGAGGACAGGCCTGGAGGGTGAAATTAGTAATTGTTTTAGACATGTTAATTGTGAGATGCTTAGCCACCTAGATGGACTTGTCGAGTGAACAACTGGATAACCGAATCCAGAGTTTAGAGAAGAAGTCTAGGCTGGAGACAGAAATTTGAGAATCTTCAGTAGTAGCTTGTTCAAACCACAAGATTGGCAGAAGCTCATCCCGGCCTAGAGAATGGGTGTGGAAATAGAAGAAAAGATGTGCAAAAAGCTGAGTGCTGATCCCTGAGCCCTCCAACATTCAGAGACAGGGTGATGAGGTGATAAAGGAGAGGCCAATGAGAGGGGAGAAAAACCAAGGAGGGAATTCAAGGAAGCCAAGTGGAAGTATTTCAGGAAGGAACCAACAACTGCGCCAGATGCTGCCACAAGGCCTAAAAACAGGAGTATATTGTTTTTGCTACAACATTTTTTCTTATATAATAAATATAAACATCTCAATGGATATATTAGTATAAATTTTTCATAGATGCAGGGTTTTTGGGGAGTTTTTTTGCCATTATAAACAATGCAGCAACTTTGTAGCCATCTTTTTAAGCACATCCCTAATAATTTTTAGGATAAACTCCTACAAATGGAATTGCTTAATCAAAAGTGTGCATGACTTAAAGGCTTGTGCATATCGTCAAGACTGCTTTTACTCAACAACTAACACAGTACCATAGAGTGCCCACTTGCTTTTACCCCGAGAAGAGTAGCTATTGTAATTAATTTCTTGTTTTTTTGCCAGTTTTATCAGTGGTAATTGAACTTACATTTGACTATTAAGAAGTTTGAACATATTTTCTATCCTCAATGGCAATCTGCAATTTTTTGGTGAATTTTCCATTGATGTTCCTAGCCCATTTTTCTGTTGGGGTATATATGTCTTTTTCTGATTATTTCATTTGCAAGGTGTTCCTGTATACTAAGGATATTAACCCATTTTTCTGCCATATGTGTCAAGTTTGTTATATGACTTTTAATTTTATTTCTAGTATTTGACATATTAAATTTTTATGTAGTTAAATCATTAATATTTTCATTTATGACTTTTCCCTTTATGACATTTAGAAATTCCTCCTTTCCCCAAGATTATGAAATTGAATATGCAGACTTTCTAAAGTGATTTGTTAATGAAGCTATTTATCTTTTGCTTTAGGAAAATCTGTCCTCCAAAAAATTTTCTCACTTTCTTCTACCTCCTGATAGTACAATTTAAAAGATCTTATTAGGTTCTGTTTCCACCAAAGCCCTATTAAAATCACAACATCTAAAAAATAGAATCTAATAATGCTAGGGCCCAGTAGAGAAAAAAGTAAGCCTAGCTTTGGGGCAAGGGAAGAATATAAGTTAAAAGGTATTATGCACATCAGTTATGTATTTTTTATAATGCTACTATTTCCTATCTTTCATAAAAAGATTGGAAGAAAATTCAACTCATTTCTTTTCAAACCTAGCCAATATTTTTTGTTTTTAACTGCAGATTTAAACTGTCACCCTATGCCACTCCACTACCTACTCCATGAGTATTAACTGAACACAGAGCCTGATTTAGCATGGTACAAATATTTAAGTGATTAAGAAGAACTTAATGATCAGGACTTTTCTGATTCCTCTTTCTATATGTGACCTTTTTAGGGAAATATTATTGGTGAGGTGATAAAGGAGTCAGGCCTTAACTGAAATCCAGCTCTGCCATTCATTACCTGCATGATCTGACAAGTTACCTGAGAAGTTATCTGACATCACCAAGCCTCCATTTTCTGTCAAACAGGGAACTAGTCAGAACTATCTCAGAGTTGGTGCAAGGATTAAATGAGATAATACATGGAAAGCACTCAGCACAGTGCCTGGCATATGGTAAGTGCACAATGAATGTTAACATCTATTATTACCTTAGCTGCTTTCGCATTTCATTTATTTTTAAATTCTGTAAAGGTTCCATTACCTCTTTTGCTAGTTTCTGTCCTTGTTCCACACATATAGGTTTTTCTTTCATATCATTCAGTCTTGCTAAAGTTTTGGGGTCATCTCGGAGATCAATCTGATTAAGAAAGGTCAATAATGTCCCATAATATTACAAGTCTTTAAAGATAAATCAAAGCATGTAGTCCCATTTAATGCCCACATAATAAAAGATTAAACACAAGAACTTAATTTTTAAAACCAACTAATATAATTTTGGCACTTTTTCCAAAAACCCGACAGAATTTATTAAAACTTGCAACTAAGATTAAAGACATGTATCATTTGCTAAACCTCAGGACCACTTGTCTGAGAGCAATACCACAAGATAGGCCAGAGAGATTATTCTTAAATGGATAAAATCAAAGCAGACATACCTGAGTTCCTATTAATAAAAAGGGTACATTTGGTGCATATTCCTTAAGTTCTGGTACCCACTCCTCTTTCACATTTTGAAATGAGGCTGGATTTACCACAGAGAAGCATATAAGGAAGACATCAGTCATTGGATAAGATAAAGGCCTCAGACGATCATAGTCTTCCTGAGGAAGAAAGAGAAACCTCATTATTTCTGTTTCCATTTCTTGAGTGTACTGATAATGTATACATCAGATTACATAAGCAAAGAAGCAAAGTCAGGTGTATTTGTGGAATATATAGCACTCTCCATAAAACACGATAATCCCATTTGTTTTCGTTAATTTTCCTTCTGAACACCAGTGGGGTAAAAATATGACAAGATCATTAACTACAATGAAACTTGGAGGAGATATATTGTGATAACTAAAGCTGTCACTGTAAACATTAACTGAAAAGTTTGCACAAAGAGCTGATTATAGCTAGATGTTGTCCAAGTGTTATCATTTATAATAACTAATAGGTACTGAATGTTTACTGTGTCAGGTACTGATGTACATGCTCTCCCATGTATTACTTATTTAATCCTCAGAACAATTATATGATAAGTACCATTATTCATGTTTTCCGTTTGAGTGAACTGAGGCACAGAAGTTAAATAACTTGTGTTAAGGATACATAGCCAATAAGAAGAGATCATGCAATCCATGTTGTTCTACACTCTTCAAGTATGTCTTTGAGATCTTTCCAGACCAGAATACGTTAGACTACCATGTAATTTTAAACTGCTGCTTCATATTCCTTGGAGGGCTGTACTATTGATGGTTGTTTAGCATCTCTCTATCACAAAAGGCAGCGAAGATCTTGTTTTGCTTAGACTATTTTCCGTGACACAAAATTCTATTTATTTATGTTCCGGTGAGTAAACAGAGTCAGGATTCCATTTTTGTCAGGGCCAGTCTGTCATTTGGTTTCAAGGAAACTTTATTTTTGGCCTAGGCCACCACCCCTCTTAAATGACCCACTTCACCACCAGAACTGCAGTGAACGTGGAAACTAAAATGCTAAAAACATCTTCTACTTGCAGTTTCAGGAGCAGTATCTCCCTCATGGTACAATTTTCTTTCATTTCATCTTCTAATATTTTTCTGGGTGTAATGTTCCAATGAAAGCTATTAACATCTCAGAGTCTTGACTTTAAGTTAACCCTTCTGTTTTTCTATGATTTCGAAGGGCACTTCCACAGTCTGGAGCTGCAGTCATTGACAGATTTCTCAGGTGTTAGCTATCACAGGCCAGGAGGGGAAATGCCATCTACAACCTTTTTCACCCTTTATTTTTAAAAGTGGAAGCCTCTAACTGGTTATGAATAAAGCAGTGCTCTGGTGTTAAGAAATTATTAATGAAGAAATCAAGTAGAGTGGGTATGAAATACATTGTAACTGCACCATCCAGTTACTATCAGAGGACTCTTATCAAAAATAGAACATGTTTTTAAAAATCAGTTTGAATGGGTGTATTAAATATACTTCCTGTACTCTGCTGCTTATTTCAAACTGCATATCATTAATGGGAGAAAAGAGATGGCATTTAATCTTAGCATCTACCCAGCAACTACATTCCAAGAGAACTGGCATGGTCAGGGAACGGGGTGCTGCTCTTGTTAAAAAAATCTCATCCATATTTAGATCTCCAATTTTCAGAGAATTAGAAATGGAGATACTATCTCACAGGTGTATGAGAAGTAAATGAAATAATGCAACTAAGGCACTCAGCATGCTGCCAGGCACATAAAAGGACCCATCCGATGCTTTCACATAGATTCTTCATCCCACAGGAAACCGAGTCTCCTATTCTTCCGTAAATCCATGCAAGGTCCCAGCAGTCCCACACGAGTCCTGGTTTTGCATCTCTTTCCAACCACAGAGAAGAAATTTCTTTAGTGAAAAATAAAAATTTCTACACTGGCATCAAAACACACAAACCAAACTGAGTTCTCTTGAGGACAGTATAATTTTCAGATTAATGAAAAAGAATATTATTACAGTACTAATTAGTCATTTGAGGACCCAAGAGCCTTGAGACTATTTAAATGTAACCAAAAAAAAATAATAATAATAAGATTTATATATTTCTGGGAAAACCAAATTAGATTTTTTAATGAAAATTTTACTTTTCAAGCAAGTTTACCTCATCAGGGAAAAAGAATGTGCACTCCTTCTCTAGAAGGGCATTAAAAAGTAAGTGAATGCAAAGTTCTTTAGAAATACTTAATAATATTCATCCAAATATTCTACAGAACATAAGTCTGTTGTATGGATTGCTTTCATAACTATAGTAAATACTGACTTTCCTCAATAAGAGACATGTGGGCACAAAAGAAATAAATTAATCATTTCTAGATATTTGTTAAATTACAGATTTTGTTGAAATAATTAAAATGTGAAGGATTTGGGCTATTAAAAAAAACAACAACAAAGCATGTTTAGAACTCCTTAAAAAGAAATGTTATCTCTTAAGTCTGAACTATCTAAGACGGACTCCTGCCTGTAATCACCAGCTAAGTAATTGGCAGTTATTATAAGAATGACACCTTTCTGCTTCCATCCAGCTGAGTAATTAGAAGTCTAATAATAGACAGCAAATTAAAAAAATAATTTATCCCCTATGCATACTGTACCCTGAATCATATAAAATTGTTTATATCTATTGTACAGTGAACTTAATGTGAAATTCTGGATTTGGGGATAAGTAAATTGAAGCATGCAGAATACTTCATCTCTAGCTAGTTTAAATTTTACAACAAAACAAAAGTTAAATGTGGAGTGAATGCCCTTAGTTTTAAATAGCCACTTATCAAAGTCAGAACTTCTCGGAGTCAACCCTCTAGTGTCCTAATTATCAAATCAAGTGTATTTTAGTCCTAATAAAAAAAAAAAGTAGGTATTTAAATATTGCAACATGGTAACTGGAACGTTCTCAGGAGTAGAGAAAGTATATTAAAGACAACTGTCTTATATCAAAACCATGAAAAACAATGGTGAGTTCAGTCAACAGGATTATTGGACTGCTAAGTAAAATCTTTAGTTTCCGATCAACTGGCTAAGAACCAGATGTATCAATTTTTTTTAAAGTGTCTCCTGGTAGCTTAGTGATTAGGCTCTCCATTTTTGACGTCTTTGATCTGTGAGGAGGACAATCTTAAAAAATATCACACACTTACAACCTGACAAAGATCTGTAGACAATGAGGCTGAAAAAAATGTGTTCTGAGAGGAAACAAAAGACCTTTGGGTATAAGAGAACTATAGCAAATGACCATCAGGTGGGAGACCCCTTTTGAAATATGGCTCATCCAGCAGTGCTCACGAGCATCCCTACTTCTGCATGACCTTTGTCAATGCTTCATGTGGACCTGAGGCTCCCTCCTACTTTAGTGAATTCTCTTTAAAATACATATTTTTTAGTATGTGTATGTTTATTTAAAATACATATCCAAAACATGACTTTTAAGCAAAACTACTCACAGTAGTTTTGGAAAGTATATGCCTTGCTCTGTTTTGTTAACTGGTATGCTATCACACACTGGTCACTTAAAATCAATTAGCAAAGATATATTGAGATCATACTGCATGGAAGGTGTTCTAAGGATATATACATAACTACGAGAAATAATTGTTCCCTCGGGAGCTTACAGTTTAACTAGGAATTCAAGATACATACATATAAAAAGATAGTTATATACAACAATGGGAGAAAGAAAAGTGTAAACTGATCAGGTAAATATATAAATGCTTCATCCAAGAATGAAGCATTTATATATTTAGTCTTGGATGAAGCATTTATATATATTTACCTGATCAGTTTACACTTAATAAGCACCTATTAAACGTCCAGAATGGTGCTAAGTGCAATCAATCATCAGAGAAATGAAGGACAAGATTCCGATCATATCTGATTTGTGTAACACCTTACAAACACTTGCAAAGCTCTGTCATAAGATATCTATGTTAAAAATGAGGCAATGAGCTCAAGTGAGCAATACTACCCACAATGCACCTCACTAGAGCTTTGCAGACCTCAAAGCCACAGTCTAGAAGAAAAGAAGCTGCACTGCTAGTGTGAGAACAGGCATAAGGTTAACACAGAGGACAAAGAGTTTGATAGGTGAGGAGAGACACAAACATTTATAACAGTCTCTGCTCTTAGGGAGTTCCCAGTAAGGGAGACAAATGTACAAGTCAGAATGTGGCAAATACCCAGAGTGGTAATTAGAGGATGCTAAGGAAAGACTTCTTAAAGGAGGAGGCATTTGAATTGGGCCTTACAGAATGGAGAGTATTGGCCCATATGGGACCCACTAGCAATGTGGCCTTGGTCAATTCTCTTATTTCTGAGAGGCTTAGTTTCTCTGTAAAATGGGAGTGTGTCAGTGACAAATGCTTTGAAGGCTATAAAGTGTTATAAATGTTATTATATTCCCAAATAATCCAGGATGTTACTGTGATTTAAGAAATTGTCATTAATCAAGAGCTTTCCTCTGTAACAACCTAGAAAGAGAAAAAAATGGGACCACAAGTGAATAATTCTTTAACAGACAAGCCCCAGACTTCTAAAGTCTAAAACAGCTTCTACTTTAAGAAATACATAAAATGTAAGACAGTTAAGAATGTCCTAGACAACTGGTGGCTTATGGTATATGAAGAAGCAACTCTCTGTCGCTTCCAAAGTACATGGTAGTAATTTCCATCTGAAACATCTGTGTCTCGTGAGAAGCCCAAAATAGGTTATCGGGCATGGTTCTTGAGACACTGCAACCCCCAAAGGGTGCTGTACTGAAGCCAAGAGGCCACATGGACTGAAGTTAGCTTCTGAAGATAGAAAGTGTTCTGTCATAAATCTAACTTATAAATTATAAACATTCCTACAATAATTCTTAGTAATAGTAGTCTATGAAACCTCATTTTCCTTTGTGTTGTTCTTTTTGTCACTTTTGAATTCATTTTGTATTTAACTTTCTGAAATGCACATATCGCTTTTCACTCCCTTAACAATAATTCTGTTTTTCAAGGAAGCTGGGTTGGGTCCGTACTGGGAGCATTCTTATAAGTTTGGCTCCAAATACATCAGTGATGAGTTTATTGAATTTGCCTGCCACCTTCTATTATTACTGAACTAAAGAAAAT